ACACAACCAACATTGAGGTACACTAATATGATAAATACTTATCATAGTTTAAAATGAAATCTAACCCTACTGTTCAATTCACTTCACATGTGATAAAGGCAAATCCATTGCTTCTGGATATACTTTTGATCAGCATGCCAAAACAACAATAGATCATACTCACTATACATGTAGGAACCCAAACAATCCCCCAACAAAATCAACCATTCAAAAATGTGTGACTTGTCTCTCTTTAAGACCCACTACTTAAGTAACTTACACTTGTATTTGATTCTTACAAATTATTGTTTTTAAATACACTTTTCATGTATATACTACATATAGTAGTCATTCTATCTTACCCTAATAACCATTGCAAACTATTGTCTTATCATGTCAAATCCAACAAGTGGTAAACGAAAAACCATTCCATCTACCAGTAAAGTTAATCATCATGACAACCACATAAAATATGATATAAGCAAAACAGGTAAGAAGTTAGATAATCATGTCAAATTCTACATACCCACTACTTAAGTAACTTATATTTATATTTGATTTTCACAAATTAATATTTTTAAATACACTTTTCATGTATATACTACATATAGTACTTACTCTATCTTACTCGAACAACCATTGCAAACTATTATCTTGTCATGTCAAATTCAAACGGTGATAAAGGAAAAACTATTCCATCTACCAGTAAAGCTAATCATCATGACAACCACACAAAAAATGATACAAGCAAGACAAGTAAGAACTTAGATAATCATGTAAAATTCTACATACATGAGTACTCCCTACAGGGTGAACACATTTGCATACAGAAACACATAAGTATTACATGTTTTGTCTAAATGTATAAAAAGTTTTTCCTCTTATTCTAAAAGGGAATTGCAAAGCGCATTGCGAAATGTGGAAAAATATATGTTAGAAAGCCAAACAATAGCAAATTTACAAGATGAGCATCCACGTTTGAAGAAGCAACCTAAAATAAATTGGCTATTTAGAGCATTATCTGAAGAGTGTAAAGGTGGAGGTACATTGGAAAAAAACCTATTCATATCATACCTAACTTGAACATTCAATACTTTTAAGATATTTCTCCCATTATATTTATATATGTAGGAGTTGTTGCTTAAAACTTATCTTTATCATATCTGCACGTGCTAAAAACTGTCTGAGACTGCATTTATTGTGTTGCAAAAAGATTTGAACATGAACCTCCAACATTCTGTTGTGAAAGCGAATATATCAAATTAGCAACCACTGAATCTCCAACATAATTATATGCAATGTTTGTGGCTTCTACTGCAGACGCTATAGACTTTCCCAAATATATTAGTGCATATAATAGCATCTTTGCTTTTACATCTTTTGGTGTTAACCTAGATAAGGAAATAACATCTACGAGAAAAGGAGTGTACACATTCAGAGCACAAGGTCAAATTTATCACGATTTACCATCATTGGTACCACGTGATAACAATCCCTATTACTTCCAACTATACTTCTTTGATACAGACAACGAGTTGACCAATATGATATATTAAGGTGAAAGAAGGAATATTGTCAGAAAAAATTGCAGAAAAAATCAAACAACTAATGGAGAGAAACCCATATGCGCAAATATTTCACCAACTAAAAAACCAAACAAGTTTCCACAATTTCCAATTTCTCAGTGTTGCAAATGTTTCTTTGGATCAACGAGTGTACAACACGCCTTCAGTAAATCAAGTTGCAACAATTTGGATCGATGGAAACAATCCAAATATACCTTTTGAACGAGAAATAATTGTTCACGAGCATTCATGGTATAAACATAGAGTCAAACACTATTTCGGCTATTATGACCCTCTTCAATATCCTTTGATCCTTCCAAGAGGTGAAGGAGGATGGCAACAAGGAATAAGAAAACAACATAAAACACAATCTCACACAAAAGGCAGTCACTCCCCAACTCTAACCAATGATATTCCAACTTTCATATCAGCTCATGCAATATTAGCCAACGAGGATCAAGTTAATGGGTATCACCTTCCGCCCTTTTATAGTAAAACTTTACTCACATTCTTTACAAGTTAAATACTAAAAAAAATACACAATATAAGATAATGATGAAAAGTCATAAAAGTATTTTACCAATGAAGGTTAGTACGAACAACGTATTAGGATTAAAACATGTGGCATGAAAAATAGGACTAACGTAAATTTACTTAAATACCACCAAATATTAGTTACCTACCCATCTGATCTTTATAGTTTTGGTTTGCCCAAACTTATGTGAATATAATCAACTTACATTAGTTTTGTTTCTAAATATATGGTATATTACACTTACTTATCAGATTTAAATAAAACAAACAAAATTGTCACATTTTAAAATGCATTTCAAAAATGCTATTACAATAGTTTCCCTCACGTTAAATATTATGTACACTATTTTCCTATATCTAAATGCTACTACCAATAGGGTACAAAATACAAATATTTTTAGTCAATTATTCCTATTAAACATTATTGTACATTGAAGTCAATCCAAAGACGTAGTATCCATAACACACCAAAAACAAACATAAGAGAATAAGACATATCTTTAAAACTATCATACAATACACTTTTCATTTATACCAATATTGTCACTAACATAAAACATAACTAATATCTATGTGATTTCTAACACTTGTAGATGTCCGCCACGAGACAAAAGGAGATGTTTCTTGCAGAGAGTACTATTGTTATAAACTATAACTACGAGAAACATAGAGGTCTGTATTACTGCTATGTGGAAGATTACTACAACAATTTGTGGTTGACAAGTACATAAAATTGGAAACAACAAGGCTAGAATATTTTAGAAAGGAACAATCAAATTTAATAAGGGAGGTTTATCAAGGTATCGTTGATAGTTCCAACGCGGAAGAGTACATGGGAGATAGAATTGGGCAAAGAATACTTCTTCCATCATCTTTTATTGGGGGGCACGAGATATGAGAAGACGGTATATGGATGCAATGACTTTGGTACAACATTTTGGAAGGCCAAATCTGTTCATAACAATGACGTGTAATCTTGATTGGATTGAAACCCAAAGAGAACTGCGCCCCGGAAAAACTCGTCAAGATAGACCTGACTTGGTAACAAGAGTATTCCGAGCTAAATTGTAGGATCTAAAAGACCAAATTTTTAAGAAAGAAATATTTGGAATTGTAGCTGCTCAGGTATTCGTGGTAGAATTCCAAAAATGAGGACTACCACACATACACCTGCTTCTCATATTAAAAGAAGGGCACAAGATAAAATCAGGAGATCAGTATGATAGGTTTATCTCAGTAGTGATTCCAGATAAATGTCAGTATCCCATCTTGCATGAATTAGTGTTCAGACATATGATGCATAGTCCATGTGGACACAAACGGCCAACAAATGCGTGCATGCAGAATGGACAATATAAATATCATTATCCTAGGCCATACAACAACAAATCAATTCAAGCAAAGGACAGATATCCAATTTATAAAAGAAGAAGGGATGGAAGGATAGAGAGTGTTCATGGAATGAATATGATTAATCAATGGGTGGTACCTTATAGCCCTTATCCGCTCACAAGATACAATTGTCACATTAATGTTGAGCTCTACTTGGGAGTCAAAGCAATAAAGTATCTATACAAGTATATATATAAAGGTCATGATCGGTGTGCTGTTTATGTTCAGTCTGATGATGGTGAAAAAGTTATTGACGAGATTCAAACTTCGAAGATAGACGGTAGGTTTCACCGTTTGAATATATGAATTCAACTTGAGTGAAATGCAACGTCCAGTGATCAACCTTTAACTGCATCTTCCGGGAAAACATTCAGGCACACATATTAATGCATAAAAAAATGTGATTTATTTAAAATAATAAATATAATAGTAACAATACAAATACTAACTCTAAATGAGCTCACAGTATTTTACTGGAAAAAGCAAAATTTACAAAACATCATCGCCTGGGATAGTGTCAAGTAAACAATATTGAACGAGTATTTTAGGATGTGCTCAATTTACACTGAAGCATGAGCATACCTTTATAGAGAATTTCCTAAGTATTATGTTTGGAATCCCAAGGTAAAGACTTGGACAAAAAGAAAAGCAAGATATGTAATTGGTCGCATTGCAATTGGTAAGGTAGATGTAGTACACTTTAACTTCATACACATCGATAATTGTTAAACTTATTACTAAACAATTCATTAAATTATATAGCTAATCCTCGAGAAGGGGAAAGTTATTATGAGATGTTATTACTAAACCATGTAAGAGGACCATTGTCATTCAATGACTTACTCACTGTCAACGGTAGTCAATGTGATACCTTCAAAGAAGTGGCCAAAGAAAGAGGGTTACTAGAGCCCGACAATAGTATATTAGAATGTTTAGGAGAGGTTGTTATCTTCAAAATGCGATCTGCTCTCCGAAGTTTGTTTGTACAATTTTGGTTCATTGTAACCCACATGATATTTGAAAACTCAGGGATACTTATTATGAGGATATGTCTGAGGACTTTAGCAGTCTATATGGCAACTCTCACAATATTATACTATAGTGTACTCTAAATAGTATTAATCACTGTTTGGAAAGTATGGGAAAAAGCATAGATATATATAACATTCCTCAACTACATCACAAATTGCTCGACGGTTGTCCATCGGAATGTAGAGAATTAAATGAAGAACTTTCCGTGTAAATACCTTTAGAAGATTTTGATGCACAATCACAATTATATCCAGAACAAGAGCATGCTTTTACAAAAATAGTGCAAATAATCGATACTGGAACAACTGGAATATTCTTTGTGGATGGACTTGGGAAACTGGGAAACCATACCTATACCGTGCATTGCTTTCCAATGTTAGATCAAGAGGTATGATAGCTTTGGCTACAATAACCAGTGGTGTAGCAACTTCAATTTTACCGGGAGGACGTACATCACACTCGAGGTCTGAGATCCCCCTGCAAACAAATGAGTCAACTATGACGAACATGTCAAAGAAAAATGGTGCTGCCAAATTGATTAGAAATGCAAAAGTGATTATATGGGATGAAGGCCCAATGGCCAAGCGGCAAACAATAGAAACAGTCGATAGGAGATTTAGAGACATAATGGACATCGATAAACCATTTGGTGGAAAAGTCATAGTTTTTGGAGGTTATTTTTGTCAGATGTTACCAGTAGTTCCAAAATCAACTAGAGCAGAAATTGTAAATGCAAGCTTGGTGAAATCATATCTCTCGCCTTTGATGGAGAATATTCAATTTACGAGAAATATGAGAGCAAAAACGGATTCAACATTCATTGAGTTCTTACTTTTTGTGGGTAACAAAGATGAACCAACGATAAGAGACAATTTAATCCTTTTTCCAGAACAATTAATTGTCAAGCATTGTAGGGATGGAATTCCAGAAGAATCTATTATAAAAGAGATATTTCCAAACCTACAAAAAAATGCTACTAGGGCAAAATATGTCACCGAACGAGCTATCTTAGCAAGAAAAAATGACCATGTGGATAATCTTATTTACAAGTTAATATCCCTATTCCCATGTGAAAGCAAGATATTCAATAGCTTTGACTAGCAGAAGATGACACCAACAACTATTACCAACAAGAATATCTAAACACTATAACACCATACGGACTGCCGCCAGATAGGTATTGTAGAAAAATACATTACGAATTACAATCCTGAAGAGGCGGTAACAAAAATCAATATGGATGTATTTTGAAATATCCTATTAAATACAGGTTAGAATTAAAGGAAAATGCACCCATCATGCTGCTAAGGAATTTAGACCCTGCAAATGGCTTATGCAATGGCACCTGAATGATATGCCGAGGCTTTGCATAGAATGTTTTGCATACCAAAATATCAAGTGGTCCTTGTGCAACGAAGCATATGTTTCTTCTCAGAATTCATGTTGATGAATCCACAAATTGGACTCATTTAGGGCTATGTTTTAACAGAAATTGTGTCCTCAAATGATTATTTTATCTCAATATCTGATGAAAACCCTTAAGTTTCAGGTATTTGAGGGAAAGCATGGACACTACGTCGCAAAAAGGAACGAAAAAGCTGAAAAGAACGAAGAAATAAACGCCTGAGGATTGCCAACTCCACTTGGTGAGTCGCCGAATGGTGTTACTTCGCCTTTTATTTCAGTGATCTGGGCCCTAAAGTAAAGGATCAGGTTGGAGGAAAAAGGGAGCAGTCGGTACATCGCCAAGAAGTTCCGCGAAGCAGTACCATGTCGCCCAATGACCCAGAGCACGAAGATGCTTAAGGATGGTGTAAGACAGTGATGAATTACACCAAAGTGCGAATCACAGAGTTGATCGGCAATTTCGACTAACGACGCCGAATAATCCACTGCAGCACAAATCTGTGAAAACTATAAATACTAGTTAGAGTTTTAGTTTTAGTGTGGAATAATTATTATAATTTTCAGTTTTAGTGGAACAATTATTATAATTTTCTGTTTTAGTGGAACAATTATTATAATATGTATATAGGATAGTACTTTTTAGTATTTTTGCTCTGAGTTTGACAGGGTTTTCAAGACTTAAAGAAAAAGAGGGTTTCATCTCTAAGGAATTGGACTTGGGTTTCTTGGATTCTTCATTATTGGCCTGTAACAAGACTTAAATCTTCATACCCATTTGAATGCAAGCTCATTTAGGTAAAAATTTATATCGCTTGTTGTGTGGCTAAAAACTCCCATTCTTGAGGTGTGATTTAGCGAATATGGGCTAAGATTGTTGTTGGATCTTGTTTGTTGATAAATTAAATGTAGTCTAATGGTGATTTTGTTGAGTAGTTGTGGATGAATTTAACAAATTTGTAGTTGCAAATATAAGTTTATTTATTTGTTTTCGGCTTGCTCGAGAGAGAAGTCACGAAATCAAGACTACTAGATTGATGGCATAAGGAGTGGGTCGACATGAGGTTCAGCTCGAGAGAGTGAACCCTAGTCCCATATCCTAACACTCACCTCGAGAGAGTGAGTGGGGTAAGGCGTAGGCTGGTCTTCACTCGGCAAGTGGGTGTCCGAGAGGAACCCATTTGAAATGGGATAAGTTGCTCGAGAGAAAACTTATTCCCACGTAAAGCTTAGCCTTGACACTATTAATCTATAAATTTGCTATCGCGGGAATGTACCCAATAATCTAGCTTAACCCGTATTCCCGTCACATCCCAAGGATCCCCTCTCATTATTTAGAAACCCTTATTTATTTTACTGTTTTTACCTTATCTGTGACAAAACCCCCCATTCTTAATTGACACTCTTGTGTCCCCCTTTTTAATTTACAATGTTTTTACTCGTTAATGTCTTTAGTTATGACTAGTTAGAACTAAATTTCATTTTTCTATAAATTCTCAAAACCACTCTCTTGGGACGTCCCAACCCTTGGTTGGGTTACTAAACTATTGTACGATCGTAGACACTTGCATCGAAAGTTGTGTCTTGAATACGTAAACATCAAAATGGCGCCGCTGCCGGGGAGTGGTGTTACTTGAGAAGTTAAGTTGAATTTTGTTCTTGTTAATTATAGTTGAACTTACTTAATTTTTAGTTTTGATTTTTGTGTTGCTGTTTTGAATAGAAAAATTGAGCATATCTGCTCGCAACGGTGACCCAATAGATCACCCTCCTCTGAAAATGATGATGCTAAGGGATAACCTCATAAGTTTTAGTAAATTGAAGGGTGAGTCAGTTTATGAGTTTTGGCAAACGTTTAAGCCTTTCTTGCAGCGGTGCCCGACTCATGGAATTCCAGATAAGATGCCTCTAGAATGTCTCTACCCAGAGTCAGAAGAGGGGTTGCGTGATGAAAGTGAGGCAAACCCCACTATTGGAACTTAAGTGGGGACTTGAGTCGTGCCACGACGTTAACTAAGGCGCTGCTTGGGAGGCAACCCAAGACCCCTTATCGCTTTATTTTTGCTTTAAGAAATAATGGTGTGTTGTTTGTGTAGGTCGAAGTGGGAAAGTTGTTGAAAAGTGCAGATTGGCGAGCAAAGGGTCCAGTCGGTGCAATGCCGAAGAGGTCGGCGACCCCGACCCAGACCTTCGTTTGACTCAAGACAATTTTACATTGGAGTCTGTAAAAGTCGGCGAGCCTAGGAAATTATTGTTGAATCGCCGACCAGGTCGGCGATCTAGATCTAATCCGTCGTTTGGACCCCCATATCAACAAAGGATCCTGTAAAACTCAGTGAGGTAGGTGACCACTTGGCGTGTCCACGAGTGTGTCGGCGAACACGACTAATGTCGCCGAATTGGCGAGAACTGTACGGTTTCTTAAAAGGCCAAAGGTTTAAACTTTCAAACTCTTCACTTTTCCTCACTTTCAATTGTCACAAACGCACACCCGCACCTCAGTTTCTATATTTTTGGAATTTTAAAGTAATTTAGTCATTGATTTGTGTTCGGAGTGGATTACATTACCGCCTATCATTTCAAAAGTAATTTAATCGGTATCTCATGTTGGTTTTTCGTACCCCAAATTTAATTTTAGCAATTTTGTACTCATTTTCAATGATCTTAGCTTAGTGATGTGTGCTAATCCTCTCTGATCTTAATTGTTTTTGCTTATGCCTGTGAAAATCTTGCCCGTAGTGTTTATATTGTTAAAATCCCGTGTTTTTATGCGTTAAAATTAGTTAAATCTTGTGGGGTTTTTATTGCATGTTGTTGAGTCTAGCAGGGAGAAGTCTAAGTATCCCGAAGATATGGTAAATACCAATATTGTAATGCCACCTCGGAAAAGAGCACCGAATATCACAATAAATGAAGGGGGGGTGAAATCCTCCCAAGATAGAAAGACAAGAATCTCCACCTAGAAATAAAGGTAAGGGCGAGAGGCCCACTTCTGATAGGAAGACCACTATCGGATTTCGTAATTTTCCTTCGTGGGCTTGGGGATTCTATGCAGTTGTACAGACCTTTTTGGCGGATACACCCTTGGCAGCTCCTAGTAGGTCTGGTACAGTTATTTTTACTGAGGTGACTCCGGGTACAGAGACCTAGGACCTGAGTGATGCACCGGGCACTAATGCCCAGACAGATGGAGTGACTGTGTAGACAGGACCCCCTCTTTACCTCCCTCTCTCTGTTACTTTATTTCACTTTTGTATATTTTTATTTGCATTTGAGGACAAATGTTTTTTATTTGTGGTGGGTTGAGGTCCACTTTTGTTTGCTACTCATGTTCATGTTTTGAGTATATATTTGGGCCGTTCTATTTTAAAATTGTGCTAATACTGCTTTTATGTGGATGTTTGAGCTTGCGTCTCCTTTTATTTTAAATTGTAAAATGATTTCAACCCGTCCAAAATGTTTTGCCACCTCTCGTGTGTTAAATGTGGATGTTCTTTTGCAAAATTTAAGTCTCGGTCCCGATCAATACCAATGAAGAAAATAGTGTTTACAATCGAACGAACATGAATGCGTGGCTATGATGAGGCCAAATGAAGTTGGATAGACAATTTGTGAACTCTTTGCATCTGGTTGTGATTAGCCATTTATCAAATTGATTCTCTTGTGATGATCGTTGCACACTAGCAAAAGTGTGGAGTCTTGTTAGACTTAAGTGTCGATCACTTGTGTGAAAAGCTTAACTGGAAACATGCATAACAACACCTAGAATATGCCCTATTGGTCTGGTTGACTAAGTAAGACTTTCTCTTGATATGATCTTAGGCAACTTCGAAGAGTGTGAACCAATTTGACATATACCTCTTTTGTGACCCACCTTGTGAGCGTGTTATTCTCTCTTGAACACCCTTTGAGCCTTACCCTTCTTTGGAAGAAACTTGATGAAAACTAGACATTTCTTAATTCATTACCAATAAACCTCTTGAATTGTGATTAGTTAAATAGCCAAATTAGGCCAAAAGCCTAAGTTGGGGGTGTGGTAAAAAGAAAAGGGAAAATCAAGAAGTGCAAGGGAAGTCTCCATTAACCCATGGTGTTGAGAAAAATGGAACCCCTCCATATTTAAAAAAAAAAAAGAGAAAGAGAAAAATAAAAGAAAAGAATGTAAAAGAGAGTTGCACAATAAAGTATAAAAGAGATGGGGTTCCCAAACAATCCATGGAAAGCAAATAATATGATGACCTATGATGCACCAATGAAAATGATGAAGGAAAAAGAAAGGAAGTGTTGAGAGCACCACATGTCATGAGGATAAAAGTCACTGAGCCTAAATGATCATATCTCTACGCTCAGCCCTGTTACAAGCCTTGTTAAGACCTTTGAGATCTTGAGAAAGTCGAAATAAATGTTGATTGGAAAATACGGGCAAACCTATGGGTGAAAGTATGCATTGTATTCCTCTTTGTGAGTGTAAGCGTTGTATCTGAATCCTGAACTTTAAATTGATTATACCTTTGCATGTGAAAATGGAATCATCGTTTGTGTGAGGCCATTCGAAAGCTTTTGTTGAGCTTGAACTTGCATTTGAAGCAAGTATTGCGAGCTTGAGAATCTTTGGTATAGGTGTGTCAACACTTGAATCTTTGAGTACACACTTGATCTTTGCATAAGTAAATTGAGTCTTGTTGTGTGCATTCATGATTGAGTCTAGTGTAGCACTGTTCGAGACACCTTTTTTTAACGGCTGAACTTAAGTTTGCTTGAGGACAAGCAAAAGTTTAAGTTGGGGGTGTTGATGAGTCCACAAATTGGACTTATTTAGGGCTATATTTTAATAGAAATTGTGTCCTCAAATGCTTATTTTATCTCAATAGCTGATGAAAACCTTTAAGTTTCAGGTATTTGAAGTTTGAAGCAAAGCATGGACACTACATCGCAAAAAGGAACGAAAAAGCTGAAAAGAACGAATAAATGAAGGCCTGAGGATCGCCGAGTCCACTTGGCGTGTCGCCCAAGTGTCTTACTTCTCTTTTTATTCTAGTGTCCTGGGCCTGAAGGAAAGGATCAAGTCGGAGGAAAAAGGGAGCAGTCGGTGCATCCCGAGAATTCCGCGAAGCAGTACCATGTCGTCCAATGACCCAGAGCACGAAGATGCTGAAGCTAGGGCGAATCACAGAGTTGATCGACGACTAATGACGCCGAAAGATCCACTACAACACCAATCTGAGAAAACTATAAATACTAGTTAGATTTTTAGTTTTAGTGTGGAATAATTATTATAATTTTCAGTTTTAGTGGAACAATTATTGTAATTTTCAGTTTTAGGGGAACAATTATTTTAATTTTCATATAGAATAGTACTTTTAGTATTTATGCTCTGAGTTTGAGAGGGTCTAGAAGACTTGAAGAAAAAAAGGGTTTCATCTCCAGGATTTGGACTTAGGTCTCTTGGATTCTTCATTATTGGCCTGTAACAAGACTTAAATCTTCATACCCATTTGAATGCAAGCTCATTTAGGTATAAATTTCTATCTCTTGATGTGTAGCTAAAAACCCCATTCTTGAGGTGTGATTTAGCGAATATGGGTTAGGATTGTTGTTGGATCTTGTTTGTTGATAGATTGGATAAAGTTTAATGGTGATTTCATTAAGTAGTTGTGGATGAATTAAAAAAAATTGTAGTTAAAAATACAAGTTTATTTATGAGTTTTTGGCTTGCTCGAGAAAGAAGTCATGAAACCAAGACTGCTAGATTGATGGGATAAGGAGTGGGTCGACATGAGATTCAGCTCGAGAGAGTGAACCCTAGTCTCACATCCTAACACTCACCGAGAGAGAGTGAGTGGGGTAACGTGTAGGCTGGTCTTCATGGGGCAAGTGGGTGTCCGAGAGAAACCCATTTTAAATGGGGTAAGTTGCTCGAGAGAGAACTTATTCCCACATAAAGCTTAGCCTAGTCACTATTACTCTATAATTTTGCTATCGCAAGAATGTACCCAATAATCTAGCTTAACCCGCATTCCCGTCACATCCCAAGAATCCCCTCTCATTATTTAGAAACCCTAGTTTATTTTACTGTATTTACCTTATTTGAGGCAAAACCCCCCATTGTTAATTGACGCTCTTGTGTCCCCCTTTTTAATTTACAATGGTTTTACTCATTAATGTTTTTAGCTATGACTAGTTAGAACTAAATTTCTTTTTTCTATAAATTCTCAAAACCACTCCCTTGGAACGATCCCAACCCTTGGTTGGGTTACTAAACTATTGTACGATCATAGACACTTGCATCGGAAGTTGTGTCTTGATTACGTAAACATCAAAATGGCGCTGATGCCGGGGAGTGGTGGTAGTTGAGAACTTTTACTTAAGTTGAATTTCGTTCTTGCTAATTATAGTTGAACTTACTTAATTTTTAGTTTTGGCTTTTTTGTTGCTGTTTTGAACAGGAAAATTGAGCATATCTTCTCGCAACGATGACCCAATAGACCACCCTCCTCTGAATATGATGATGCTAGGGATAACATCCTAAGTTTCAGTAAATTGGAGGGTGAGTCAGTTTATGAGTTGTGGCAAATGTTTAAGGCTTTCTTGTAGTTATGCCCAACTCATGGAATTCCAGATAAGATGCTTCGGGATTGTCTCTACCTAGAGTCGGAAGAGGGGTTGCCTTATGAAAGTGAGGCAAACCCCACTAATGGTACTTAAGTGGGGACTTGAGTCGTGCCATGATGTTAACTAAGGCGCTGCTTGGGAGGCAACCTAAGACCCCTTATCGCTTTATTTTTGCTTTAAGAAATAATGGTGTGTTGTTTGTGTAGGTCGACGTGGGAAAGTTGTTGAAAAGTGCATATTGGCGATCAAAGTGTCCAGTCGGCGAATAGCTGAAAAGTTCAGCGACCCCGACCCAGACTGCAGTTGGACTCAAGACAACTTCACATTGGAGTCTATAAAAGTCGGCGAGACTAGGAAATTACTGCTGAATCGCTGACCAGGTCGGTGATCCTGATATAATCCATCGTTTGGACCCCCATATCAATAGAGGATCCTGTAAAACTTGGTGAGATAAGTTACCACTTGGCGTGTCGTCAAGTGGGTCGGTGAGAACGACTAATGTCGCCGAATTGGCGAGAACTGGATGGTTTCTTAAAAGACCAAAGGTTTAAACTTTCAAACTCTTCACTTTTCCTCACTTTCAATTGTAACAAACTCATACCCTCATCTCAATTTCTAGATTTTGCAATTTTAAAGTATTTTAGTCATTGATTTGTGTTCAGAATGGATTATATTGTCGCCTAGCATTTCAAAAGTATTTTAATTGGCATCTAAGGTTGGTTTTCCGAACCACAAATTTATTTTTAGCAATTTTGTAGTCATTTGCAATGATCTTACCTTAGTGATGTGTGCTAAACGTCTCTGATCTTAATTGTTTTTACTTATGCATGTGAAAATCTTGCCCGTAGTGTTTATATTGTTAAAATCCCGTGTTTTTATGCCTTAAAATCAGTTAAATCTTGTGGGGTTTTTCTTGCATGTTATTGAGTCTAGCAGGGAGAAGTCTAAGTATCCCGAAGATATGGTAAATACCAATATTTTCATGCCACCCCGGAAAAGAGCACAGGATATCACAATAAATGAAAGGGGGGGGGAGTGAAATCCTCCCAAGAAGGGAAGACAAGAACCTCCACCTGGAAATCAAGGCAAGGGCAAGAGGCGCACTTCTGATAGGAAGACCACTATCAGATATCCTAATGTTCCTTTGTGGGCCCGGGGATTCTATGCAGTTCTGTAGGCCTTTTTGGCGGATACACCTTTGGCAGCTCCTAGTAGGTCTGGTACTGTTGTTTCTTCTGAGGCGACTCCGGGTACAGATACCCAGGACCAGAGCGATGCACCAGGCACTGATGCCAATACAAATAGAGCTACTGTGTAGACAAGACTCCCTCTTTACCTCCCTCTCTCTATTACTTTATTTCACTTTTGGATATTTTTATTTGCATTTGAGGACAAATATTTTTTATTTGTGGTGGGTTGAGGCCCACTTTTGTTTGCTACTCGTGTTCATGTTTTGTGTATATATTTGGGCCGTTCTATTTTACAATTGTGCTAATATTGCTTTTCTGTGAATGTTTGAGCTTGCGGCTCTATTTATTTAAAATTGCAAAATGATTTTGACCCGGTCAAAAAAATTTGCCACCTCGCGTGTGTTGAATGTGGATGTTCTTTTACAAATTTAATTCTCGATCCCGATCAATACTGATGAATTGAATAGTGCTTACAATCAAACGAACATAAATGTGTCGCTACGATGATGCCAAATGAAGTTGCATAGACAATATGTGAACTCTTTGCATCTCGTTATGATTAGACATTTATCAAATCGATTCTCTAGTGCTGACCATTGCATACTAGCAAAAGTGTGGAGTCTTGTTAGACTTAACTGTCGATGACTTATGTGATAAGCTTACCTGGAAACATACATGACAACACCTAGAATTTGCCCTATTGGTCCGGTTGACTAAGTAAAATTTTCTCTTGATATGATCTTAGACAACTTCGAAGAGTGTGAACCAATTTGACATATACCTCTTTTGTGACCCACCTTGTGAGCGTGTGATTCTCTCTTGAACACCCTTTGATCCTTACTCTTCTTTGGAAGAAACTTGATGAAAACTAGACATTTCTTAATCCATTACCAATAATCCTCTTGAATTGTGATTAGTTAAATAGCCAAATTAGGTCAAAAGCCTAAGTTGGGGATGTGGTAAACAGAAAAGGAAATATCAAGAAGTGCAAGGGAAGTCACCATTAACCTATGGTGTTGAGAAAAATGGAACCCCTCCATATATATATTTTAAAAAAAAAAAAAAGTTGCACAATGAAGTATAAAAGAGATGTGGTTCCCAAACAATCCATGGAAAGCGAATAATATGATGACCTATGATACACCAATGAAAATGATGAAGGAAAAAGAAAGGAAGTGTTGAGAGCACCACATGTCATGAGGATAAAAGTCACTGAGCCTAAATGACCATACCTCTACACTCAGCCCCATTACAAGCCTTGTTAAGACCTTTGAGATCTTGAGAAAGTCGAAACAAATGTTGATCGAAAAACATGGGCAAACCTATGGGTGAAAGTATGCATTGAGTTCCTCTTTGTGAGTGTGAGCATTGTATCTGATTCCTGAACTTTAAATTGATTATACCTTTGCGTATGAAAATGGAATCATCGTTTGTGTGAGGGCATTCAAAGGCTTTTGTTGAGCTTGAACTTGCATTTGAAGCAAGTATTGCGAGCTTGAGAAACTTTGGTAATGGTGTGTCACTACTTGAATCTTGGAGTACACACTTGATCTTTGCGTAAGTAAATTGAGTCTTGTTATGTGCATTCATGATTGAGTCTTGTGTAGCACTGTTCGAGACACCATTTTTGAACGGCAGAACTTGAGTTTGCTTGAGGACAAGCAAAAGTTTAAGTTAGGGGTGTTGATGAGTCCACAAATTGGACTCATTTAGGGCTATATTTTAATAGAAATTGTGTCCTCAAATGCTTATTTTATCTCAATATCTGATGCAAACCCTTAAGTTTCAGGTATTTGAAGTTTCAAGGAAAGCATGGACACTATGTCGCAAAAAGGAACGAAAAAGCTGAAAAGAACGAAGAAATGAAGGCCTAAGAATCGGTGAGTCCACTTGGCGTGTTGCCGAAGGGTCTTACTTCGCCTTTTGTTCCAGTGTGCTGAGCCCTGTAGGAAAGGATCAAGTCACTGCATCGCCGAGAAGTTCTGTGAAGTAGTACCATGTCGCCCAATGACCCATAGCACAACGATGTTCAAGGTTGGTGCAGGACGGCGATGAATTATACCAAAGGGCGAATCGCGGAGTTGATCGGCGATTTCGACTAACGACGCCGAATGATCAGCTGCAGCACAAATCTGTGAAAAGTATAAATACTTGTTACAGTTTTAGTTTTATTGTGGAACAATTATTATAATTTTCAGTTTTAGTGTAACAATTATTATAATTTTCAGTTTTGGTGGAACAGTTAATAAAATTTTCATATTGAATAGTACATTTTAGTATTTTGCTCTGAGTTTGAGACGGTTTTGAAGACTTGAAGAAAAAGAGGGTTTGATCTCCAAGGATTTGGACTTAGGTCTCTTGGATTCTTCATACTTGGCCTGTGACAAGACTTAAATCTTCATACCCATTTTAATGCAAGCTCATTTAGGTATAAATTTCTATCTCTTGATGTGTGGCTAAAACCCCCCATTCTTGAAGTGTGATTTAGCGAATATGGGTTAAGATTGTTGTTGGATCTTGTTAGTTGATAGATTAGATGTAGTTTAATGGTGATTTCGTTTAGTAGTTTTGGATGAATTTGACAAATTTGTAGTTGCAGATATACGTTTATTTATGTGTTTTCGGCATGCTCGAGAGAGAAGTCGCGAAACCAAGACTACTACATTGATGGCCTAAGGAGTGGGTCGACATGAGGTTCAGCTCGAGAGAGTGAACCCTAGTCCCATATCCTAACACTCAGCTCGAGAGAGTGAGTGGGGTAAGGCGTAGGAAAGTGTTCATGCGACAAGTGGGTGTCCGAGAGGAACCATTTGAAACGGGGTAAGTTGCTCGAGAGAAACTTATTCCTACATAAAACTTAGCCTAGTCACTATTACTCTATAAATTTGCTATTGCAAGCATGTACCCAATAATCTAGCCTAACTCGTATTCCCGTCACATCCCAAGGATCCCCTCTCATCACTTAGAAACCCTTGTTTTTTTTAATCTAACTTGGACCAAGGTCCATTTATTAATTGATAAAAAAGAAAGATCCAGCTTGTTCTACAGACAAGCCTAAGAGAAAGACCAAAAACAGAAAGTGTAAAGAAACAGACCCAGACAACTAAAAAGAAAAAATCTAAACACATAAAAATAGCTGGAGAAAGCTCACGCCTCCCTTCATCTTCCAAATCAATTCCGTGAATATCCGACTAACTTTACCCCGATTGTCGGCGTTGAAGCATGGATCCAAGAGCTTGGACGAGAATCACTTTTGTAGTAACAAGTCTGACTACCGCCATGAATTCGACTCCATTGAAGACTTCTTCTGCTCCCAGTTTGGCTTCAATCCCAACTGTTAATTGAAACCCCTATTTATTTTACTGTTTTTACCTTATTTTTGACAGAAAACCCCATTGTTAATTGAAACTCTTGTGTCCCCCTTTTTAATTTACAATTTTTTACTCTTTAATGTCTTTAACTACGACTAGTTAGAACTAAATTTTATTTTTCTATAAATTCTCAAAACAACTCTCTTGGGACGATCCCAACCCTTGGTTGGGTTATTAAACTATTGTACGATTGTAGACACTTGCTTCGAAAGTTGTGTCTTGATTATGTAAACATCAACTGTCACCACCACAAAATAAAGGCTATCCATTTAAATTTATTCGAAAGCAATTTCCAGTACATCTTTGCTTTGCAATGACTATAAACAAAGCACAAGGTCAAATAATTCCAAACGTTGGCTTTTATATTCCCCAACATGTTTTCTCACATGGTCAGTTGTACGTTGTACTCTCAAGAGGGATATCTATGTCCACAACAAAAGTTCTTTTCCTAACAGAGCAACCGAAACACCATAATGAGACATATACAAAGAACATCGTCTATGAATAAGTTTTAGTACGATAACCTCATATATATATATGTCCATTGTACCATTGATAATTAACTCTTTACAAATCATCGAGTCCTAACAATATTACATTGCTTCATATCTCAGGTTTAGAAGACACACACACACCTATGCAGACATAATCAATTCTTCATCGACCCACACTCCTCAATGTGTTAATGTAATATTTATGATAATTGTTTGAGTCCCTCAATCTACTCACATAAATTGTGACATTTAACCAAACATTGTATGGTTTCATGTTTAAGTTTTTTGTTTGTTGTTATTGTATTGCATTCTAATGTTTTAATATTATTATTATTATTCATAATTTAATGTACTTTCATGCTTCATATTAAGTTGATGATGCCATTCATAATTTAGCACATAAATATACTACATATTATGAAATGCATTAATTAAATCTTTATCACTTTACAAGATCAATAATAACTTATGCACTTATGAGAAGACTATTTAACACAATGTACACATCTACTACATCAATAATATTGCACGCGCTCATGACAACATAGCTTTACAAATGTCTCTCGATAGAGAACGAGACAACATAGCATGGCTCACACGTGCAATGCATGTGCCCATGACTACTATTATAAAAAATCTAAACAATTTATCATATTCTCTAAACATCTACCTTAAATATTTATGTTTTGAGATTATATAAATTTTATTAAATAAAAATATATCAAAAGACATTTTACTTAATTTTTCTTGTAGTTCTAAAAAGTATTTGGAATTCTTTGTTAAACCAAGAATCAACTTTATTATTTAGGAAAAATAACGCAGGAAATGTGTGAGTACTTTAGAGTAATAAGTAACAAAAAAAACATAATGATAGCAAGTAGTATGTTTTATTATTAGAGATAACGTGTGCTAACAAATTAGAGTTTCAAAAGCATGACATAAGTATATATTCAATTAAAAAATTTGTTTTTAAAGAAAATAAGAGATAATGCATAAGTACCCCTCATGAACAATGACCGTAATCGCAGTGACATGCCTTAATTTTATTAGGGTCCTATTATCCCTCGAACTCAATTTTTCATATTCATGCACCTTTTGTGCTGATGTGACACCTTCAACAAAATAAGTTTGTTATGTTTGTACACACGTGCTTGTCATGTGTGTAAATAATTTTTTTTTAAAATTTTATAAAAAATAATTAAATGTTTTTAAAGCTTTTTATTTATTTTTTAAAAAATAATTCTTTGATATCTTTTTATTTTC